GTAATTCATGACTGATAAGAATTTAAATGAGAGAAGCGGTACAATTAAGCAACTTTCCTGTATATAAGCTTCGCCACTGAAGGAAATGGAAAAATATATTCTCAAATTTTTCAGTTTCAGAAACTACAATAAATTGGGTTAGAGATAAATAATAGTAGTTGGTAAACAAGCTGAATTATTTTAAATTTCCCGCAAACATTACAAACGTGAAGGAAATACGTTGTGACGAATAAATTCTTGACTTCCGTACTTGGAAGTTGGAACAAAAAACGCATTTTTCTTGTTAAAATGAAAGGAAATTAACTCATCGTCGATTCCAAGCTGCAATATTTGGCTCTAATTGTCATGAAGAATATAAAATTTATTTGATTTGTTTAAGTAGAGTGACTGTTTGTTTATGGTGGATGTAAAAATTATTAGATAATCAATAGAGGAGGAAAAAAACATTGTACGGAAACATTAAAATATCACTGTAGTCTATAAAAAAGATTAACTATGCATATTAATCATTGTACTGATTTAGTTGTATGTATAATTAGTTGTGCCTACAACTAATTATACCTATAACTAAATAATTAAAATGATTTAATTTTATAATTAAGTAGTTCATCAATCTGAAATCTCTAAGATGTTTTCTGTATTAGCATAAAAAATTTTATAATTACTATTTATCATGTTTCAAACAAATGAGATACTTTTTAATTATTAAATAATAATACTTAATAACAGTTAGAAAATAATAGTTAGAAAAATTATTAACTTTAAGGTTATTATATAAAAATTATTGAACAAAACGAGTAGGGGGTTGTGAGTTCGATCCTGACAGCCGACTGAACAATAGACGTGTATAGCAAGGTGCTCGTTAAATCTCTTGTGACTGAAAGCCCTCCCGTTTATTGTAATATAAGAGTTTGGTAAGAGGGATACAAGATTAGGAGCTGTCACGTAGTCTGACCAAATTTCGTAGCATTCCTATCATAGCGGTAGCCATTTTTAGGACAACATAGCCTAAAAATGGGCCTAGGTGCTTGGTCATGATTGAGTGATGATGATGAGCAAAACCACAATAATTGGTCCCACCTAACTATTTTCTTCGAAACATTACAAATTATATTTGTGCATTTTCACTTTATAAGTCATGTAAGTCATTTAGTAAGTAATCACAGTCTTAAGTAATCATAGAAAAATTTTAATACGGAAAAAAAGTTTGCAGAGTCAAACGTTTTTGTAATATTTTTCCGGCGGACAAAATCGATGATGGCGATTCAACTTATATTTTAAAAAAATATGATCGAAATTTCCTAACAATCTGAGCATTATATCACCGGATATCTTCGTTCATCAAATGCTCTCGTCAAGTACTTGAAAATGCCACTTAAAATAGTCTGAATCGAAACTCCAATTCCGATAAGCTTAATTCCCGATATCTAAAAGTTTGTTTCACGTTTTGACTTTTAATTGAAGAGCTAAACTATTTAACGGGGACATTTCGGCATCCAGCTATACCTTAGTATTGTTTCCAGATGGGAATTTCTTAAGTTTCCGGACTTCTGACTAGATAACATCATTAAAAAAAAAGAGAAATATCTCAGCAGGGGTGCATAAATATCTGAATATATTGTAGCAATACCTCAACGCAAAGGGAATTTTCTCAATTAATATGCTATATATATATAAATTTCTCAGAGTGTTTTTCAACAAAAACTATTTCCTGAATTTAATGTAAACCATGAAAATATGGTTTACATTAAGTTGTCTCAAGTTTATAATTTTGTAATTATAATTATAAATATATCATAATTGCGTAAATGATTATAAATTTTTGTTTAGCAAATTATCAACAGGTTTTTTTTTTTTTTTTTTTTCAAAAATAAATATGCCCCTCTAATATTTGGCGAGAAAATACAAGCCGTTCTAAGGCAACCTAGGCGGGAAAAGCGAATTTACCTATTTCCTGTTGAAAAGATGCAATTTGGAAAGACCCTTTGAGGTAATTGCGAAACAGCGGTTAAATATATAATTATACAAAATAGAATGCAAGTGAAATCTTTTGAGTTTTTTAAAAGTGGCAAACTTAAATTTTTAAGTGTTGATTAAGAAGGCCTTTTTCCTTTCTGCAATCTTACTTCATTTTAACTCAAACATAACTTAGCCTAAATTTTCTACATTTTTGACATTTTGGAGTATTTTATTTTAGGATTCTATTTTGAGAGTTAAATTTTTTCTACTTTAACAGTTTCGAGTTTCAGGTAAGTAAAAAACGATCCATCTAGAATTGATAAATAACATTTAATATTGAATAATCACTTTTTATTCAATGTGTTAAACAAAATGAGATCATTTTTACTGGTTGTGATATTCGATTGCAACCTTGGGCTTTTATTTTCTTAACTTTATACTTGTTAACCAATTAGGATTAAAAAGTGATCACATTCCAAAATCAACAAGACTACCGTAATTTTTGATGTTATTTATTTTGATAATGAGATTAGAAAAAAGCTTTCAAAAACTACAAAGAATTCTAATTTGTCATTTTTCTTTCAATGCATCTTATTTTCTGATACATTTTTTGTGCAATCTATTTGAATTGATATTGTGTATAAACCATGATGTATTTCCAAGGTTGAAATTTTATTATTTTTCGAACGTTTATGTTCAGAAGCTGAATTTGAAGCAAATTTTACATGTTCTTTTATAAACTTTTAATCGTTATATAATTAAATACATTATTTAAATATTTTTATTGCTCGAAAAACATCAATTTATGACATATTGTTTCATTTTGCATTTTAATATTACGAAAATTTGCGTTACCGCGAAAAAATAGCAAATAAATTTTGGAAAAACACCCGTGCAAGTTATCATACCTGTAAATAAGAACAATACAAATTGTGCTTGTTTTTTTTTTCAAATAAAACATTTATAAAAAGATAAAATGCTATTGAAAATATGATTAATAAATGTCATTAAAAATATTTTTGAAAATGTAAAAATCAAAAAACATCAGAAATAGAGAAAGATGAAAAAAGGAAAAACTGAGAAAATAATTATATTTTCCAATTTTTTAAATTAACTTTTTGGCAATTAAGAATTTTAGCGAAATTTTCCAAAATTTAGAAATTTTTGATTTGCATATTGGTTTTAGGGAACCGCACAAATTTACTGACAAAATATAAAATTTAAAGTCAATATGTCTTAAAAATAATTTGTAAATATAATAACCTCAAATGGCTCGTAAATAAAATCACTTCAAATACTTAGTAAATATAATAACTTTCAAGCTTAACTAGATTCTCTTCAAAGTTGAAGAAAATAAATTTTAAACTGACAATTGTCAAAATCATAAATTGTTGACCAATAGAAATTGTAGAAACGTCGATTGAAATTATTTTTTTTAAATTTTATTTCCCTCATTTAAAGTTCAATTAAGAAAACTTCTATTGCTCAAAAAATAAATTTATTTTGTACATTGTACTATTTAAAGTTGCGGAATATATTAAAAAAGTTTTGCGTTCCATAAACTTCAGCTCTTGATGACTGATCTTTTCATGGTTGATTTAACAAATTTAATAAGTTCATTATTCGACTCAATTAGTGACCTAACAACTTTATTATGTAACTATTGTTGACTAAACTAATGATTCTATTGAAACAATACATTAATAAGTCTTTTGTTTTAATTAATAAGAGAAGAGTTCCAATTACAATAAAGGCTTCGAACTATTGCTTTTTCAGTTTTTATTTCATTAAGAATAAAATCTATCATTTTTATATGGATAAATTTAATTATTTAAAAGTCTTTTCATTGTTTATTTGACAAATTTAACTATATCTTAATGATATTTAACATTATTTTAGATTGTATAAACACGTTTGAAACAAACTGAAAAGATTAAGGATCAAACCCATTCTAAAATAAATTATGCGAACAGAATACGAAGTTTAAATAAAATATTAATAATAACATCTACGGAAAGTGTCTGTGTGACGTGATAATTTAAATTCTAGTGTCCTGAACATGAATTTAGTTAAACTATCTGCAGAATTTTACACATTAATATGAACCGTATGCCAATGCATTATTTGTTTAAAACTTGTCAGTTAGTTTGTTTTTTATTTTAAAAAAATAGCCCGTCCAGTTTCACTAGCTCGAGACATTTCTTTTTTTTTTAACTGCTTTATTGTACCTCGTGTTTTTTCTCCATTTCACTTTTAGACCAGGCATAGTTGCTATCCCTGTTCAACTTTGTTACCTTGTATCTGCATTTTTATAAATTTTTTTCCTTCTGTTAAAAACGGTGTTGCCGTATCCTACTCTTAAGACATTATACTATTATTAGGTTACTTTTAAACAGTAGCTGATTTGAAATTTTATAACTAATCTGGATAGGTTAACATTTGTATCATCGCAACATATTAACATTTGTATCATCATGACATGTTAAAATATGTTAACAATTGAATCATCAAAATAAATTAACTTTTGTATTTCAATCAGTTAAAAAGAATTGAAACATTCAGTTTAAAAATAACTAATTATTAAAATTAATTTTCGGCGAAAACTAATTTTAAGGTAAATAAGACTGATAAATGCGTAACGAAACAAGCATTTGATTAGTTTAATTAGTATGAGTTATGTAATGAGTTAATAAGAACCACGATGGTGCAGGAGATAGAACGTTCACCTTCCAATAAAATGGACAGGGTTCGAATTCCAGTGATGGCTGGTCGATATGATTTCCGCATCCGGCTTGCACCGACCACAGCTCTTAAGAAATAGTAAATGGAATACTTGGTAAATGAAATTTTGATCACATAAATCCATAGCAAATACAGGTGATATCGTGTTTTTTCCCCTAACCACACGTACAATAAATTGATTAGTTTTATTATGTTAATTTTTAGAATTCAAGTTTTATCCTCAAAATGTACAAAAATGTCAGTAATATTATTCAAGCTTTTAGTTCATTTTTTAAATGCTTTCCTTTTTTTCATTTTAGGTAAGCAAATATGGATCTGCTTTCTGGTTTGAAAAACTTCTTTAGAGTGGACACGACTACAATAGACAACAACATATTCCGTTTGCATTACAAAGTGACTTCAGCCATCCTGATAGCTTTTAGTATGCTTGTAACTGGACGTCAGTACCTTGGCGATCCTATTGATTGCATTCCACAGAAAGGGGAGATACCCGAGAACATGCTGGACACTTTCTGTTGGGTTCATACAACATATAGTTTACCCGATGCTTGGCACAAACAAGTCGGCGTAGATGTTGCTTACCCAGGAGTAGACAAGTACAAAGAAGGAGACGAAAGAGTCTTCCATGCTTACTATCAATGGGTATGCTTCGTTCTCTTCTTGCAAGCCCTTTTGTTTTATGTACCACGATTTTTCTGGAAAGCCATGGAAGGAAAAAGAATTAAAAATTTGATCATGGGTCTAAATTGCCCCATAGTTGCCGAAGAGACAAAAGCTGCGAACAAGAAACTTCTTGTCGACTACCTTGTAGCAAATCTCAACAACAACAATTTGTATTTTGCGCATTATATTCTTGCCGAAATTATGAACTTTGTGAATGTGGTTGGACAAATGTTTTTGATGGATGTTTTCCTGGGTGGGGAGTTCTCAAAATACGGCACGGAAGTTCTCAAATTCACTGAGTACGATGGTTCCATACGTTTCGATCCTATGGTTAAAGTGTTTCCCAGGGTCACAAAGTGTACGTTCCATAACTTCGGATCAAGCGGCGACGTGCAGAAGATCAACACGCTGTGCATATTACCCATCAACATCATAAATGAAAAGATATACATTTTCCTCTGGTTCTGGTTTGTTATCCTTGCAGTACTTTCTGGTTTAGTTTTGGTGTACAGATCGGTGATTATATTTTGGCCAGAATCGCGCTTCTTTATTTTGCGCTCAAGGAATCGAATTGCTGAACCACACTGCATTGAAGCAGTTGTTAGGAAGTCAAAATTGGGAGATTTTCTAGTTTTAGATTTGTTAGCCAAAAATTTAGATTCTTTACATTTCCGCGACATTGTTAGAGAGTTTTCAACAAGGGTCGGCGAGAAGCATTTGGACTATGTGACATGTTAAATTGGCATTCTGACATAAAATTGAGACAATCAAATTAAGAGCTGTGATTACTTTAGAGAGCTTATAGAAAAAAAAAGCTCTGCTATGTTTGTTATTGAGGGTTCCTTATCAAAACTGTTACTCGTTTAAAAAGTTCTGCTTCACGTCAACAACGTGTATGAACGCATTAATTAACTTTAACTAGTTCATGCTAAACAGCCATAGCATTTATTTAAAATATTGTCATGGCTAGAGAGCTTATTTAATTAGTTGACTTGTGACAAATGAAGTGGAAAATTAATATAGTTATTATTTTTTAAAAACATTACTATTAATATTTTCCTTGTTATGTACATATTGTTTTCTGTTTATAACATATTTTGTAGAATTTATATAAATTTATTTGCTTCATTTGTATAATTTTATTTAAACGTTTCAAATCTTCAACATTATCCACTTAGCATTAAAATATTAATGTAATAGTTTCTTATTTGTTAAATTCGACTGTTCTTGTACTTTTTTTCAACTTTTATTTATTAATTTTTTCTCAAATTTACTTTTGTGTCCTTACAAGTTGATACCGATGAGTTTTATTTTATGATAATTTTTTGCACAAATCTGCATGTTAATTCAAAACTATTTTCATAACTTCTACAAATATTTATCATAGAAATGTAATATTTTGAAATGTAATGAAGCAAAACTGTGATAAGCCAGTCACATTCACTGTAAATTTTACTTGAAGATTTTGTTAAATTGCATTAAGCGCACAAAAATATAGTAATTTTGCTCTGTTTATGATGCGAAAATTTAATGTCGTTGGAATAAATCAAGTATATGTCGAATAACTAACTCAGAAAATACTGTGGAATGTTTTTTTTTTCAATTTTACATGGTAAAAATTTTGTACAAATTTGTTGTTAAATTATAGAATTTAAGAACCAGTTTACTGTGTATACGACTGGGAGTATTGTTTATTTTTGAAATAAAAAATTTCAACATTGAAAATAAGACTATATTTATTTTAATATCGTAATAGAATGGTAAATACTAATGAGTACGGTAGGCCAAAAAAAGTGGTTTCTATTTTTTAGTGCAAAATAAAACTAAATTTTTTCCACTCAAAACATTAAATTTAATCAAATATCAATTTTATTCAATGATCTTTTGCCATCGTTCTCGTTTCATGATTGATTCTTCGCTCATAGAACTTATCGGTAAAAAATTTAACCAAGTGCAATTTGAGGTCCTTGTTATTACTGAAATTTTACCTATTTTGAAGAGTTTTGTAAATTATGATCTGATGGTGCAAGGTCCAAGCCATATCAGGGGTGTGAAATCACTTTTCAACCAAGTTCCAATATTTTGCACACGTTGTTAAAGATGCGTGAAACATTGTATTGTCACGGTGACTCAAGATTCCTTTGTGATTGTCTATCCCCAACCTAACCCCGAAATTATACCTCCGGTTTCTAATTTATTTTTAAGTTTACAAAACTTTTTAAATAGCAAAAAGTTTAGCAATGACGATGACCTCAAATCGTACTTGTTTGAGTTTTCGCTTATAAGCATCGGAAGTTTTATGAGCAGCAGGATCATGAATTTACCAGAAAAAAGGCAAAAGATCATGGAACAAAATTGGTGATATTTGACAGATTAGAATTAATTTTTTGTGTTGAAAAATTCGAGTTTTATATCACGCTAAAAAGAATAATAAAAATAAAAAAAAATAAAAAAAACATAGTTGAAAGTAAGATGACAAAATTTTAAATATTCGGACATATATTTTTTGTATTCATATGTAAATATAACTTATTTACATGCAATTCAGTCATCACAATTATTAAAAAAAGATTACTTTTTTCTCCTTTAATCATTAGACAAGGATGATTATACAATCCAAAAACAGAAATTACATTTGAATTTTTTATTATTTGAAATTGGGAGTTAAGCTACAAAATGTATTATGTTGGAAATGACTCATAAAATATTGGTCGTTCACAGTTTCTCCTTTAATTTTTTACAAAACTTTTAATTTTTATTTCAGACTGAGAGGGCTCTGCCCCATACTCGCTTCGTTCCCCATCCCCCATTATTTAATTCCCCATTATATCCACAATCATTTTTGTTTAGAGATGACAAATATATTACATAAGGATTAAAATTTAAAATTATCTATTTTTAAAAAAATCTCAAAAGTCTTTAGTGCATTAACACTAGTTAATTAATATCCGATTTTATTAGAATAAAATTTAGATATTAATTCTGTTTTAGTAGAACTTAATTCACAAAATAATTCGTATCGAATTTTTTGGTTTTTATAAAGCTCCTTAATTTTTCTCGAAAAGAAGCTATTTAGAAATCTAATTATTTCTATTGTTAAACGAATAATGGAAATCATAAACTAAAATAATATTAAGTAAGGATGATAAATATTACAATTATATACCGTTAAATAAGGGATAAGAAAAATATTTTATCAGTAAATGTCTTTTGAAAATATATTGATTTTACGTTGAAAGATAACAATTAGCTTTTTTATGGTCTAAAATTCCATATGAAAGCACTTTTATTTACTTAGCTGAATAATATTAAAAAATAAATTAACTCATTACATTTAAATATATAATTTAAGGAAATAAATAAAATACATTTAAATAAATTCCTAATTCATATATTTTTATTTAAAAAAAATAATTTATTTATAATAAGTGCTTTTTTTCCCTAATTTCGACACCTGCCTCTTACTTCTAATGTTTTTTCATTTCAATAGAATAACCAGTAATCAAGACCTCACTATCGCATGAGCAGAACGACGAATTACACAAAGCTCCTCGTTCTAAAAAATCAATTCTCATTGCATAAAATTTCAATTTTTCAAGTTTTTATATTTTAAATTTAATTTTTCAAACTTTTTAAAAAGATTTTTAATATTTCTGTGATTGCTTTATGCGAATTTGCGTCTTACGAGTTCAATGAAGTTAATTAAATCATAATTTATTGAGTTAAAATCGCTAGCAATATTTTTCATTAAAAATATTGTTTTTTATAAAATGTATGGATTTTTAAGTTTATTCGAGACCAATGTCGATAACTTTTATTAAAATAGAAACAACACAAATGAATTATCAATGATAATGAACTCTATAATTTATCATAGCCATTTATCGAGCTGTCTTACAATAAGAAGTTTAAGAATTTCACTATTTTCTATATTTTTATATAATAGTAAAACATACAAACAAGAAAATATAAAATAATTTTTAATCGATATTTTTTTGCTTTATTTGGGTTTTTAAGGATTCAGAAGTTAGTGAATATTTGAGAGCTTTGCACTTTGCCTAAGGCCTCCACCTCTTTTAATCGAGCCCGGTGAATATTTACATGCAAACTATAAAAGCAATTCCCAGTTTTTTAAAATAATATTATTTTAAGTAAATAAACCGAACTAATTGTAATATTTAAGACTCAATCGTTGTGTCTTTTGTATAAAAAAAGATGGCAATTATACCAACTAAAACATGATGCATGTAACTATAACCTAAATACATTGCGATTTACATTTCATCATACATAAAGTATTCCTTTTCTGATTAAGCTCTTATAAATATTTTGTTTAAAAAATAAATATTGTGTATTAATTATACAAAACCGCAGCGTCGCGTGATGGTCAAAATCACCAACTTTTCACTATACAAACCAAAACTCATTATGCGAAGTTTGAAATAATTTTTTCATTTTATTTTTTGTTATTCAGTTATCGATTGTAGTTAGTAATGGCTCTGAATACTAATTCTGCGGTTTATGCTAAATGGCATGATCCATACTGTTTACTTTAATCTCCTTTGTCTTAAAACTAAATAAAACATAGAATTGTGCAAATTAGGTTTAGATATTATGTCTCATTTAAAATAATTTGTTATATGACAAATAGCGCTAACAAGATACTGTTAAATAGCAACATCATTTATTTAACTGTGGTTCATTTTGATTTCCAAGAAATTGAAATTTCAAATTTGGTGACAGGTCCTCTTACCCAGCTAAGATAAACTAAAGAACAAACTACACGTGATAAAATCAGTCATCAAAATCACTAAACCATTGAATGAAATCGGGGTTGATCATTTAACATGTTGCGAAATTAACAGACCTGTTTGACAAACAGACATCTTATATTACACCTCCAGTCAGAAATGCTTAATTAGAAATTCTTGTATTGTAACGTCAACAATTTAGCTGACTTTTCTACTATAAAAATCGATATTCTACTGCCGTTTGTAAAAATGTAATAGCTCTTAAAAACAAAGGAGCTGTCCATAAAGGGTTTACTTTTTTTTCCTTCAATATTTTGATCCCTACCCTTCCGTTTTTTTATCAAGTGTCAAAATTCACGTACCCCTAAACTCTTGTCATATGCCCCGCTATATAACATAAATCAATACTTGCACTTCAGATACGAAGTCCTATATGTTATAGATCACATTTCAATATTTTAATTTTAAACTGTGTTCTTAATGACATTTGAGAGCAAAACAACGATACTGAAAATATCTGCACTTATTTTGATGAAAAATACTTTTTTAAAAATATAGAAATAATAGTTATTCCCTAAAGATAAATATTAAAATACATATGGTTAATAAATTAAAAATTATAGTGAAAACATTTATTCTCCTGTTTTAAAACGTTTTTGTTTCTTATAAAATTGCTTTGTAAAGCCAATTTTATATTTTTTAATCGGCGCTGAATAGCCGGCCCATTTTTGAGTTCACGATCATCAATGTTCAACTCCACAGCGTTGTTAGTTTGAACAAAATCCAGAAGAAAAAGAAACGCTTGGATTTAAGCATTGAGACAAACTAGCCTTCATGGAGGACTTTTTGATGTTACTAACCCGTATTTGCGTTACATGGAGAAGAAAACCACAAAATGCATCCACGGTTAGCCCGATGACAAAGGGATTCTGCCCCACGATCCGTCTACCACTGAGGATATTGTACGTCAGTACTGTGATCGAGGCAAGTCGGGAGCAGAATTCACATCTACAAGCCACTGCTGGAATTTGAACCTGGTTCACCTCGTTAAGAGGCGAACGCTATATGTCCTGTGCCACCGCCACTCTCGTCTTCCACTTCACACATACTGACCAATTTCATGATCCCTCCCATTCCAGTTTGACATCATTTATGAACGGCCCTAAAGTGTATGGCCCTATTTTAATAATTGACAGGAATAAAAAAAATCTGTTCTGAAAAGTAATCAATTTCGCGGTACAAACTGGTGAAATGAATTTTTAGCGTCCCTAGTAACGTCACAAATTCAACCTTTTCCCCTCGACGTTCTAATTCAATTTGTGAAAATTTTTCAGCTTCAATGAAAAGTATTTGGCACCAATTTAAAAACTGTTTGTCGGAAAAAAGATGCATGCCTTAAAAATTCAGATTTTGATGTGCAAACTTTTAAAATTACTTCGTAAAAGGTTCATACTTACATTAAAAATTTAGCCATCTATCTCTTTAAAAAGTTACCACCCAAAAGTAAAATGTATCTTACCACTTTAAGGACAGACCCTCACAAATATAAGTTCCATGGTGCAAAGAAAAGAAATTTTAAATTTTTAAAATGTTCCTTGAAAATTAAAAAAATTGAGCCACGTCTCCTTCACTAAAACTCGACATTATATTACCATTTTGACGAAGCGTTAACACTTCAATACCAAATGTATAACACCATTTTAAAATATGACACTCATAGAATGCTCTAAAAGTGTAGTTTCCGATTTAAAAATGGTTGAAATTTTTAAAGTGTTCTGTATGATATTAAAATTTTGACAGAATTTTCCTCTATAAAACCAATGTCATTTGTAGAAAAAAGTTAGAACTCAAATACAAAGAATAGATATCCATTTTAAAAACTAACACCCGCAGAAAATATTTATCTCTTAAAAGTGGCAGATCACATTTGAGAAACTAATTTCTAAGAGGGCCTTAACGTTTAAAACTTTAGCT